ACGTTTGGGAACTGAGAACTTTAATTGATGAAGCTTTTTTGGTGGATTTTTTTTCCCAGCCTTGCTTGATCATTGGTCCGGGGTCTCTGCTGTCGTGTTTTACGCATCATAATGCGCAACACGTTTTAAATGGCCTGTCTGGATTGCAGACAGGTCACTCTAGTACCCACACTCTTTTACTACGAAATCAAGCTGTGTAGAATGTGGTTTGGCATTGTCTTGCTGAAATAATCAGGGGGAAAAAAAGACAATGAATGGCAGCATATGTTTTTCCAAAAGCTGTATGTATCTTTCGGCATTAGTGGTACCTTCAAGGATGTGTTCATCAAGCCATCCATCCATTTTCCGATCCGCTTTATCCTCACAAGGGTCGTGGGGTGTGCTGGAGCCTATCCCATCCGTCTTCGGGCAGTAGGCGGGGGACACCCTGAACCAATCGCAGAGCACAGAGACGAACAAACATCCGCACTCACACTCACACCGAGGGAGTGCTACGCATGTTTTTGGAATGTGGGAGGAAACCGGAGTACCCGGAGAAAACCCACGCAGGCCCGGAGAGAACATGGAAACTCCACACAGGAAGGCCAGCGCCGGGATCGAACCCACAACCTCTGCACGGTCGACGCGCTAACAACTGGACCACCGGGTGTTAATCCCATTGGCATTAACACAGCCCCATACCATCACATATGCTGGCTTTTGAACTTTGCGTGCATAACGTCAGGATTGTTCTTTTCCTATTTGAGGTCACGGCGTCCACAATTTCCAAAACTACTTTGAAATGTGGACTCGTCAGACCCCAGAACACTTTTCCACTTTTCATCAGTCCATCTTGGATGAACCCGGGCCCAGAGAAGCCGGCAGCGTTTCTGGGTGTTGTTGATAATTGGTTTTTGCTTTGCATCGTAAAGTTTTAAGTTGCACTTAAGGATGTAGCGCCAAAATGTGCTGGCTGACATTGGTTGTCTGAAGTGTTCCTGAGCTCATGTGGTGATTGATATCCTTTACACATTGATGGCAGTTTTTGATGCATTGTCTCCTGAGCATGGTCACGGGCATTCAATGTTGGTTGGGGCTTATCTTTTGAGCATCTCATATCTTCAGATGAGAGATGCGATTAGACATACATACTTCGCAGAAACGAGGTGAGGCTATTAAATCTCTGGAGACGTCTGACGTCACGTCATTGCTGCGCGTAGTAACTGTCTGTGTGGCTGAATTACAACAGTGACCACAAATGTCCACGTTATGTTTCATGTTTCAAGTTGGGATCAATTAAAGTAAAATTTAAAAAAAGTCAAACAGTACTGTAACTCAGACCAACTTGGCAGATTCACAGACAATCAAACAGTCAATCTCCCTCCCAAGTGCTCTCTCCCCCACCTGTGCAGAGCGCATCTTGGGCTTTCGGTAACGGCTAGGTCGGATATATGCGACCTGGCCATTCAAACTGCTGTTGCGTTGCAAAAAAAAATTTTTTGTGTCCGATCTAGGACCACTTATGAAAGTGGCCCAGGGCGGATTTGAAAAAAATCTGAATTGAGACATTCAGACTGTCATAAAAGAAAAAAAAAATTGGATGAAATACATTTTTATTTATATAGCGTTTCCACAACATATGCAGGTCACATATGGGCGAAAAAAAATCCATCTGGCTGGAATTTGTCTGCGGTGTGTGAACCTAGCCATAGAGTCTGCAGTCCCATGCATAAAATATTTTTATGCTCAACTCTAGTGTTGAAACACGTGTTATGCTTTTTAACTGATGCAGTATTTAAAATGTCAGAGGCCACACACGAAAAAAAACTTGGCATGTTTTCTGATGGCTCTTAGAATGTGTAGTCCAGTTGATTTGAAAAATGTCAACAAAAAGAAATAAACAGCACAAAATCTAATGATGAATTCACATCCTCAACTTAAAAATACTGAGTCAACCTCACAGTCCATAGCACTGTTATGTAATTTACATACTGTACAGCACAAGCCAAAATAAAGACTCCATTCAATTTCCTTTTTGACTTTCTCTTTGGTCATCAGATACCCTGACGCTACTCCTGAAGATCTGCAGGCCTCTGACAATGTTTGTATCATCTGTCGGGAGGAAATGGTCACCGGAGCAAAGAAGCTACCTTGCAATCACATTTTCCACTCCAGGTAGGTCCTGTTGGAAATAAAAAGAAGACTTTAAACAAACCTTGATTCTCATCAGAGCTGAACATGGTAATGAAAACACTTTATCCTAATTAATGAGTCAGTTTTTCCATAATCAGGCTCACGGTCAAACAAAGAGGTTATTGGTAACCAAAGCGTCTCTTTGTCTTCGCCTGCAGCTGCTTGCGTTCCTGGTTCCAGAGACAGCAGACCTGCCCCACCTGTCGCATGGACGTCCTGCGGGCGTCGAACAACAATCCGGCTCCAACCCCTGCCCAGGCTGCAGCCCCTGCTCCAGCAGTGCCTGCGCACGCTGCAGCTGCCCAGCCAGCCAATGGTGAGAGCAGTGAGAAGCAAAAATCCCGTCAACAACACTCCACTCAAATGTGTCATCAAATAGCTTGCTATGAAATTGCCAAACCAGGTTAATCAGACAAAAAGTTGACCTCAAAGTGATACGCGTGTCCATTTTGGCTTGCAAATGTCCTGCAAGATATGTTGTGGCACCGCAGTTGGCGATTTTAATTTGCTGCTCTTTCTTTTCTAGTGGCTCCCGGCATGTTGCCTGGCTTCCCACCCGGCCTGTTTCCCTTTTGGGGTCCATTTCCCGGCATGCCTCCTCCAGCCGCGGCAGCTCCCGGTGCTGCCGTCGCGCCACAGGGCAACACGGAGGCAGCGCAGGCAGCCGGTAGGTCCCGTGACGCCAAGCAGCCGAATCAACAGTCAAGGTGAAGCGAGTTTGCGGAGCTGCTGAGTCTGAATCCTCGTTTTCATCAGGTACCGGCCAGTCCACCTCATCCAGCGCGGACTCTGCTACGGCTGCTGCTCCGGGCTCTGCCTTGCCGGGATTCCCCTTCTCCATTCCCCCTCCTCCCTTCCCAACTACACCGTGGCTGCCTATGCCACCGCCACCACCTCCTTTCAGTAAGCTTAAGCCGCATTTGCACTTTACCCCGCTTCAGAAGTGGGGGATGAATGAGCCAAAACTGGACTTAGACCATAATTTCCATTGAACCGCTTCACAAACTGATCTCTCCCTCCTTCACTTTCAGTGTCGTCGATGCCTCCTCCTCCTCCGTCTCTGTCGCAGCTGTCAGAGGAGGAGCTGAGGGAGCTGGAGGCCGAAGGCAGACGGGGCTTGGAGGCCAGGCTCCAGTGTCTGCAAAACATCCACACCCTGCTGGATGCCGCCATGCTCAACATCCACCATTACCTCAGCACGGTCGCCACGCTCACGTAAGTAAACTTCCTCTTCTGACTTTTCAGAGCACTTTTCCTTTCCTTGTAATTTTCAGCACAAAAATTTGAAAATACAAAGGCAACAGGTGATGCTGCCACCAGCTGATTTTTTTTTTTCTTCTCTTCTGTAGTCCTCCGAGACCTGTCAGCAGCACAGAAGAAGCCAGTGGGACAATCCGCTTTGCTTCCTTCTCCACTGCTGGTGCGAGCACAGATGAGCCAAGTCAGGAGAAATCCTCCTCCCCCAAATGTAAAAACTTCCACTCTTTGAAATTGTGGAGTTCAAATTTATCTATCTAAAGTATATTAATCTTGTTTTAATCACTCTTGATGTGCTTCTTTGTGAGCAAGTGAGCAGAGCTCCAGTCCAAACCGTCGAATCCGCTTCTACTTCCGCCACTTGGGATGGTGAGACAAGAAACAATGCAGATGAAGGATCAGAGGATGAGGATGGTGAACCGAATGCCGCTGAGCTGAGGCGCCGGCGACTTCGCAAACTGGAAACGGCATCGCTTTCACCCGCAGACGATTGAGGTGACTGCGGACCAACAGATCTAAATGTGGATCATCTGCTGGTCCCCCTCTTCACCTTTTTCACCAATTTGAGTCGGGACTCAAGCTGCGGGGATATTTTGCACTCCTGTGTCAAAATGATAGCGTGTTTTTTTTTTTCCTTCCTTCTGTTTCACTAAACACTTAATAGTGGAAAGGGGACTGCAGGCACTTGTAATTTGAGAGGAAATTGGTATGGGTTTGTGTTTAGTGATACACTGTTTGGATTAGTATTTGGTAGTGTGGGTGTCATAGGGCTCAGTGCCTGCCCATTCTTTTTTTTTTTTCCTTCACCAGCTGGGTTCGGTAGAAAGCGTGTTACTTATTACACTGCGCAGTGATCTTATCTGATCCAAAAAAGGAAGGTTAACATTTTCTCTCCCCTTTACAAATCAGCACTCTTTGTGTCCTGGTTTTTTCAATGTTGCAGGTACTGTAACAAATTTATTTGAATGTGTACATACTGTATAAAGAGTTTTATCAGGGTGATCTGTACATAAAGGAGAATAAACTGCTACTTTTTCTTTCAGGCCATGTTGAAAATTCATTCTTGGAAGATTATCAATAAAATGAGTGTGAAAAAGTGTTAACCGTTTGGGCATCGTGAGGAATTACTTTCGTCAGGTTTAAATTGTAGAGCCATTATGACTTGATTTTCATAAATGTATAATCTCCTCATTGACCCCAGTGAGAATAAGGGTATGGAATATGGAGGGCTGGCTATTACTACATTTTCACGATGGCCCCCCCCGTTTCATTCTATATTTAACACTGAGAAGTCAAGGAAAATAGTGACAACCAAATATTTTATGTCGAATGAATTTGGTGGAGTAAAACATGTGTTGTAAAGGAAAAAAAAATGCAATTCCAATCGGTTTTCAGCCAAAATACTCAATTTGCTTTAGTGTACCACAAAGTGTGGCAGGCTGGGTCTGGCCATTGATGCTGTCAAACCAATACAAACGTGAATTTCCCCTATTTTTTAACACCTTTGTTTTTGTGAGTGCAGACACAAAGTAGTTATTTCATGCAGCTTAGACACTTAAGTTCACAAGCACTTAACAGGCTGGACAAGCACATTTTAATTGTTTACAAAGCAAATGTGATCCAGTCAAAGCTGTATTGAAATCACTTTCTACAATTGTCAGCAAAACTGTTAGTACAATTAATAAATTACCAGTAAAAGTTGCATCAAAATACAGGATAATCAAAAAGGAAGAGTCTGGAAAATTTCAAATGGAAAATATAAAAAAAAATACAAACCTGTGGTATAGCAAAGAGTGCAGTTATGAAATGCTCCCAGTTTCTGTCTAACAGTGATGGATGAGTCTCCATTCCGTTATGACAGACCAGCCCACTCTTATACATTCTAAAGAGGAATGCTAATGACGCTTTTCCAGGAAATGTAAGCGCTTATTTACAGTGTTTAACCACTTCCGTAGTTGATGTCCTCTACAAAAGTGACGCAAGGCAGCTAAACCCAAGTTGAACCTTGTCAGAGAGTGCTGACTCAATGTTTGGCATTCTACATCTTCCCTGACAAGTTGGTTCCCTTTAGGGGACAACAAAATCGTTTTTTTATGGTTATTAAAAACACTAGAAAAGTGCATATGTAATGTTGGTGACAATTCCTGAGGCTTACAGTGCAAAAAAAATTATTATACACAGACCAGACAAATGGAGGTTCTACCGGTTGGTTTTTCCTTGAGATGACTACCATCGAGAACGCCGCAATCCCTGCCCATGTTGGCTTGTCAGTTTTGGGGCGTGGAGTAGAAAGTGTGATGCTGGTGACTTCGATCTGGGGGGTTGCTGGCAAAAAGGAGAGGAGCAGTCTCCGATCCATACCAGCTGGCAAAAAGAAAGGACATTAAGAATCAAATGAACATCTTAAGTGGCACCATTACGAGTGCAGTCAGTCAGCCAAGCAACCTCGAGTGAGGCTGGTAGGTTGAAGCCCATGAAGGAGCTTCCTCCTCCTCGTTGCCTTGGGGGTCATCAAAAAAATAAGGCCGAGGTAGGGTCCTGTTGTTGACAGCCACGTTGCTGACCTGCCAACATCACAAAACAACACTGACGCTACAGAAAATGGATAGGGAAGTATAGAGAATACAGTGGCACCCTTGTGGTCATACATTTTCAAACTGAACAATCATTGAGTATAATGAGACAACACGAGCACAATAATGGAAAAAACATTACTTTTTTTTTTTGTTTAAATACGCAGCTCAATGGAAATAGCATCGAGAGAGTCACCCCTTGTCTGTTTTTGCATTCAGATTCAGTGGCTCCTTCAGGTGTGTGCAAATGGGCCACCGGGTAGCAGTACAATAGTCGTGATGGCACAAACGAACAAGTTTCACCAGTACTGTAAGCGACTCAGCTAACTGTGACAAAAGTTGTTTTTAATCGCTTCAGGATAAATACATGCCCCTGACTATTACAATATATCTGTCACGTGTTGCTGGACCATTTGTACTCATACATCTGTGCCTCAAGCATTAAACACTGCCGCATAGGTACTATTCATGCGCCTATCTATGGCATTTGCCATTATGTGTTAGCATTAAGCTTGTGGATTTTATGGCAAAGTTAAGTGGTTGCTTAACGTACATGTGTAATTCGCTTGTTTTATGTTTAGTTTGGCAGTAAAATTCTAATTTGAGTGGCATTACACAGTATGAGGCCTCTTTTGAATAATTGTTTGAAAAAAAAAAAAGCGAGCCGAATGACAGTTAGCAACACACCTATCTCAAGCCACCACTGTATATCCAAGAGAAAATTGTCTCTTTCTGCAAGATTGCAGGTAAATGTATTCATCAGTACTACTTTAACGACCTCCTGAGAGGGCCGGCGAACTCTGAAGATGAGGATGAGCAAACTGCTTGGGAGCAGCTCCCAGATGAAGAGGATAACGCCAAAGGCCAGGTAGCCCCTGTCGCCGAGTTCTTGATGCAGGTCAGCCTGTAAACAGAATACAAGGCGGCTTTGTGGAAGCGTATTGATTTGTCATGCAGAAAGCCTGTGAACAAGCTATGAAGAAGCAAAACTCTTGGCAGTGTTGAAAAATGCAAAATTGATTCAAAGCACTGCACGAGCACCTGGTCAGAGACGTTGTACCAGTCAAAGTCAAAAGACTCGACATGGTGGTGCTGAGACAGAACCAGTACGCTCAGGTTGTAGCAAGCCCGGCTGGCAAACAGCAAGATGATTGTGGCGCCGAGTGCTGCTGTGCGGCACACTGTGGTCCCCTGTAATGTAAAAAAACAAAAAAAACAAAACATTTTCCTTTGTAATCTGTTTGCACTCGTGACAAGGACTGTGTTAAAAGGTCACATATTGGCACTATAAAAATAAAAATTTGACGCATCTCAAGGGTTTGATCCCATGGTCCTCATCATATACACCACCTTGCTGGTCAGGTAAGGGCCTGTGGAGCGTGAGTGTCGCGTCAGCAGCAGCAGCAGGACAGCAAGCAACACTGCATCCAGGATGAACAGCAAGTCGTTGACAAGCACCCGGACCAGGACCAGATTCCAAGTCCGTTGGCCTGGCCCCGTGCCTTCACCACGGCCTGCAAGTGCGGCGCAGCTCACATTGACGCAAAAGAAGATGGCGTTCAGTGCCCCATACATGCAGCGGGCTTTACACCTAAAACAAAATGGGAGTCAGTATTTTATATTACAGAGCAATGATTCAAATGGAATATGGAAAACATTTACTAGCTTGGACTCTGGTGGTTTATCAACTTCATCCAATAATTCCAGTTCACTCGTCAGGATGATTTTTAAATTTTTTTTTTTTGCAAAATCGCATTTTTTAAAATTATCTAGCGTTTAAAAAATATTTTTTGCACCTCCTGTGGTTCAAAGCGCATGTTCAGTCAACGTAAGGGGGTGATATGCTGAATCTGTAGAAAATATCTACTCACAGTCGTTTTTCTACATCTGAGCTGTAAGTCTCCCTGGCTTTTAGTAGCACCTGTGGAACAGGAGAAACCAGAAACCATCAAGTTTATAAAATTGTGGCAAAACGACTTCTCAACCTGTCATCAATCTTCAAAAATGAAATCCCCTTGGTCTCACCTGAGTGAAATACAAGTTGATAAGGCTCAGAGTGAAGAACTGCAGGCAGACAGGGAAGCAGTAGAGCAGCCAGTAGACCGCCACGGGGAGGTGGTTGGCCTCCAGCGCGTTTCGAAAGTAAAACGAAAACAAGGTGGCGCGCAGTGCAGCCCAGAGCAAGCAAAGGAAAAGAAAGACGCTCTGATAGCTCCATCGTTTGTGTCTGTAGAAGTAGAGAAGCCAGAGTTGGGCGTACACCACCAGGAAGAGACCGCCGTACAGCACCGTGTACAGGATGGTAAAGCCGAGCTGGACCGAAGGGGCCAGAGCGGGATGTAGGGGCAGCGGCACGGGCAGGGTGGAGGAGTAGGGAGGAGGGGAGGCTGTGACGGGCGCTTCCATGGCAGTCCTGACACTTTTAGAGGTCCATGTTGACGGACTTCACGCTCTCAACTGGCACTTAATGTGGGACACCTGACAGCAGACACAGGGGCTCACTAAGCCAGACAGTCCACAGTGGAAGCCACAGGGAAAAAACTGCATGAAATGAGCAAAAATGAAATGGCAGTAATAATAATAATTATAATAAATCTTCACTTTTGCTACTACTCGATTTCGAAACGCACTGGAGGACCCAAACCCACCCACCCTCTGTGGCGGTTTACTAGGCTGAAAGAATTACACTCGTGGCCTGTAATTTTATTTTAGCTATTTCAGAAAAACGTTTTCTCTTTTGCATCACACCTGGACTGCAGTTTAGGGCAGACGAATGAGGTTGGACATTTAAATTACTTCCTTCTACAAGTTAATGAAAACGTTAGCTTGTAAGTAAATCGTTATCACTAAGCTGGTTAACATTTGAGATTCTGTCGATATATTATTAATCACTATTCCGGGGCGGTACGAGAACATTGTAACATGATAACCTTGAACTAATAGACAATATTAACAGCTGTGTCAACAAGGTCGGATCTTTGTGTCAACAACACTATGCTAACTTTCAAGAGCTAAATTAACTGTTACTGACACTGCTTTTTTAACGCAACCGCGCAAGGATTATCAATTACAAAATTCGCCACATGTTGTTGACCATACCTTATAAAATAATCACTGTAGTCTAACAAAGTTCGACCTTTTTCACGGGAATCTCCGGTATCTTCAGTTGATGACGTTCACGTCGTTACTTCCGTGTAACGTCGCGTACGTCACACGTGGACAAGGCGTGGCCTCAAGTTTTGATTCCAACCACCAATCACTGATGGCAAAAAAATCGCGCTATCTTTCGGTTGTTATTTACTCCCCCTGTAACAGAAGGTGCAGGCTGTACTGTTTTAACTATTTGTTTTGGGTTTTTTTTAAGGCGCGCAAACTCGCGGCGCATATCGTCCAATGAACACTTTGCTTCGGTTCGATAGTGCAGAAGACTCCACTCGTGTTCACACACCGTACCGTCGTTATCTTCCAGGTGGCTGGAAAGAAAAGAGTTAAACAATGCCGATGGTTTTGCGATCGCGAAAATCAATCCGCCGCAGTGATGGAGATGAGGAGGGTCAAACAGCAGAAACAACCGCAACGGCGAAGAGGCAGTTCTCCCGCCTGCGGGAGAGACCCACGTACGTGGTGCGTAATATTACTCAACTTTTCCGCCTCCTTTTCCTCCTCAAGCGAGCGAAGACAACTTCACGGCGAGCCACGTAGTTCCTCGCGAGCAGCGACAATAGCAGCATCGCTAGCCGACTAAGCCAGAAAAAAATTGTAGGAAAGGAAGTCAAGAAGAAGAAGCAGTAGCAGCGTGCTGGAAAACAACCAAGCGCTTTACATAGCCAGACGCTGGACGTGTAGCTAATCGTCACAAACTTTGATTGTTGACTGTGAAGCGTTGTGCATTCACACTCGCCAGCTTCTGCGTCATGGTAAATCGTTTCATTCTGAGCACGTTTTTTTTACATAGCCCTGATGACTCATCGTTTGTAGCTTAACCTACGCCGCATTAATTTTTTAGAGGCGGTTGGCTTCACTAACTCGTGTTTTTTGCTCCAGGAGTTCGAGGACTCGGATTCTGACACTGAGCACGGGGAGGTGATGGAGAGAGTGCAGACTGATGATGAAGAATACGCGGAGGAGACCGATGACACGGTATCGCTACACTCAATGAATGTTCTATCATCTTTGTGTCTTGTGCCTTGTGAAAAAGTATTCATACCCCTTAAATGTTTTTTCCACGCCTTTTGGCCTTACAATCACAAACGTTGATGGGTTTTCTAGGAACACATAGTTAAGCAAATATACATTTGAAAAGTGGTTTTGTGTGTGTGTGTGTGTGTGTGTGTGTGTGTGCGTGTGTGTGCGTGTGTGTGCGTGTGTGTGTGTGTGTTTCAGCCCTCTTTGTTCATTCTTAATGCTGCTAAATAAAATCTAGTCCATTCTTGCCCTCAGAATTTAGCTGTTTAATAAAAAGTCCACCTTACTAGGTACATAACAACAAAAGTAAAATGTTTTTTTCAGCCAGACTAACGTCGCCAGAAACAGCTGGAAGAAACCCGTGTTTAAATGTCAATATGTTAAGAATTAAGGAAGTTATGACATTTTAAAGGCTTCAAAAATGTCTTGTTTCTAATTCTAAACCATGGAAAGGCCTGTAATCATTTTTTGAGAAAAATAATGAAGCTCAGATCTTTAGACCTCAGTTTTTTCAATGTGGTTGGAATTGTAAAGATGATACACCGCAAGAAAGTGATTTCACAAACCGAGTAATTATGGTTATTAAATAATCTCATTCATTTTTAGCTAATTAGGCGCAATTAAGTTGACACCATTGCTGGCAACAGACGGCTGACTTATCCCGGTGAGCGGCTCTCCTGTGTCTCCCCACATTCAAATTTTCATCTGCACCAGTTTGGTCCAGTAACTTCATCTGCATGTCCCCTAAAATGCTCAAAATATTTGTGATAGATCGATATAAATATGGCAGCAAACTTTAAATACTTTTGGGGCGGTCAATGATGAGTTATCCCGCCATGCGACTGATACACATTGATATACTCCATGAAAATTGAAAACGAAGCGACAGGAGATTCCACTGTACGTCATATCTGAAAATAGATGCTTAAAACACATTTTGAACAAGCCACAGCAAATTTGTCTGAGAGTGCAAAAGAGACGTAATAACACGAAAATGGCCTCACGAAACATAGTGGAAACAGGTCAGTTGTCACATACCTAACCTTATATCTTACTATACACTTGTTCTGTGAAGGCCACAGTGGTTTGTTTGAGAACACTAGTGAACACCAGCACCATGAAGACCAAGGAACTCGCCAGTAACATCGTGGAGAAGTTTAAATCAGGATTAGGTTGTCCAAAAAATATCCCAAGCTTTCAACATCTTAAGGAGCGCTGTTAAACCCACCAACCAGCCAGCCAAGTGTCTTCGCAAGGTGTTAACACAGGGGCGCTGAATACAAATGCAGACTGCATTTTCCAGACTTTTATTTGTAAGTCTGGAAAATGAAAGTACGTATCGGTTCTGTTCCACGATACAGTTATTTGCTACCTTGTATTGGTTGATCCCATGAAATCTCTAAAAACGCACTTATGATTGAGGTTCTAAGGTGGCACACTGACAAAGTTCAAGGGGTATCAATACTTTTGCAAGACACTCACTTTATTAGGCTCAACATCCATCCGTCTATCCGCCTTTTTGTCTATCTAGTTATGTAATGTATCCCTTTCAAAACTTAGCTTGTAGCAGACGTGTGCACATTTTCAGCATGACGTCTCTGATCCACTGTTGAAAGGACACTTTGATCCTCTCCTCTTTCATCTATAACTGCTTCAAACAACAAAGTGTATGCAGAAAAGTGATTAAGATTGCACGAGTGTCTGTGTCTTATGCGTTGTGTTGTGTTATTTTGTTATTTTGACTTCAAGATGGCGCCGCGAGAGTGGCTGCCTTTCCAGCAGCTCCTATATTTTGTTCTTCTACTTCTTCCTTTCATAACTTCGCTGCTGTGAATTGGGAATTTCTCCATTGTGAGACTAATAAAGGATTTCATATCTTATCTACCAATTTGTCTATCCTTAGCTACAATATCTCGCTAACTGGCTATCAGAGTGTCGAGCTGTCTAGCTAATATTGCTTCTTGTTTATCTTCCAGTCTACCTATTTTTCCATCCAGCCATCCATTTATCTATAATTGAGAAGCGTTAAATAATTTAAGACAAGTGGGACTCGGGTTAGGTCATCATGTTAGCTGGTTAAGCTCAAAGTTTCAACATCCAATACATACTCTGCAACCAGCTGTTAGAATAGATTGTATTTTTTTTTTTTTATTATTATTATTGCATTGCCATAAACATAGACATTTATCACAATTCCAACAGTAAAAGGAATAACGCGTACACTGTTTTTATGTAAAGGCCATATCTATACTCTTGTATTTCATTAGTTGTGCTTAATATTATGGCTACAAGGTTTATAGTACAATACAGGGTGTTCCCAAAGTCAGAATGGTGGAACAACCTGAAGTCTATATGGGTAAAGCTTTATCACTCTCCAAATTGTCCGCTAAATCAACTTTTTGGTGATGATGAGCTACGGTGCAGCTATCTGAAAAGGCTTGTTTTGTGTTGGCTTTGTACAAACACCCGTTGTAGAGGTTTGGGGTTTTCAGCAGCAGTGGTGATGGAAGCAGGCTTGCATTGCATGATTCGTCAAGGACAGAGCCCGTATCCAGAATGGATAGTCCAAATTAGAGTAGGCGTTGGAGCATTGCAACAGCCATAAAGACTTGCAAACTGGTGCTTTATGACAGTCGAGGACAGGAAAATTTCTTGCTGCAAGGACATTTTGCAACTGTGCGAAAATGTCAGTTGGGCAGCCGTTGACAAAGGAATGATGCGCTGACGAAAACTGCGAGGCATTAACTGACAAATGCTGTTGCCCTCTCCCCTGTACAAATGCGACCTGAAACGGAATATTTTTTTTTAAAATGATGCAATGAGTTTGGACCAGTGGCGAATGCTTGTCTGTCAAGGAGGGGAAGCTCAATTTCGGCCTACATCATAAAATGTGTCCGTTTATTTATACGTGAATTCTACTCTCCGTTCCTTTTCAAGAAAATGATCTCTGACCCTGTGGTGATATAAGTCAGTCTGCGAACACAAGCAACTACAATAAAACCCACCAGAAGTAAAAGATTAATTTGTCGCTAGTTGCTTTCAACAAAGAGAGTGTCGCTAAGATGATAAGAAGTCTCCAGTTAAACTCAGAACAGAATGAGAATTGAAAAATGCTCCCACGGATGCCTACACCAAAAGATTGGTGATTGGCTCATTTCGCTGTCAATCAAAAACATCGTAGAAAGGGTTCTGTCAGTCGTCATCTGTACCTGTGGGTAAAAAACAAAAAAGCAAAAAAGGACGTTTCGCTTCTCTCACAGAAGCTTCGTCAGCGGTAGACAACCCTGAAGTCTCCGTGAAGACTCCGGGAAGTTGCTCTGCGCTAAAAAGCTGAGCGGAAGACAGAAGACTGAAGACTGAAGACTGAAGACAGAAGACTGAAGACTGAAGACTGAAGACAGAAGACAGAAGA